GGTGGGAGGGCTCTAACTACCATGGCACCAACTTTAGTGCAGGAGTAGCCATTTTGTTTAGAGCATCTGCAAATGTAAAGATCGTCTCTTGTGCTGAAATTGTAAAGGGTAGGCTTTTAATTGTAAGAGCAGAAATAGAGGACACTGTTTTCTGTTTCACTAATATTTATGCTCCAAATAATGGAGCTGAAAGGGTAGCTTTTTATACCCGCCTCCAAAAGGAGTTACTGATCTATAATCAGGATCAGATCATTCTTGGTAGTGATTTTAACTGCACACTTGATTTCACCGTGGATAGAATAGGAGAGGAGCCACATCTACATTCATCCCAGACTTTAAAAACTGTCATCTCTCACCTGGATTTGTTGGACACATTTAGAGTGAAACATCCACAATCCAGACAGTATACATGGGTCAGGGTAAACAGTAACAGGGTGTGTGCAGCTAGACTGGACAGGGTTTACATCTCCAGAACTCTCAACCCCAGATTAATTCATTGTAATATTCTGCCTGTTGGCTTCACTGACCACCATTTTGTTAGTGTGGAGCTGATTATTTCACCAAGTGAAAGGGCGAGTGTTTTTGGGATCAGTGGCAATTAAAAAAAGCTGAATTTGATTCTTTGAAGCTGTGGTGGGAGGTTGGCAAAGCTCAGGTTCGTGTTTTTTGTCAGCAGTATACATCACAATCTTCTGCTAGATTAAAAACATCTGTTAAAAATCTTGAGGACAACATTAAAAACCTTGAGGAGGGGTTAAATGGGAGTGTGGATCCCACCACTGGTACCCTGCTGAAGGAGAAACGTATGGAGTTGAGCTCTTTCCTGCAGGAGAGGGTGAAGGGAGCTCTTGTGCGGTGTCGTTTCCTTCAACTCAAAGACATGGATGCCCCAACGTCTTTCTTGTTTTCTTGAGAGATTGGTGGCTCAAAAAAAGCTGCTGGCATGTCTTAAAATGCCAGGAGGTCGTATAACAGCTGATCCAAAGGAAATAAGATAAGATAAGATAAGATAAGATAAGATATGTTTATTGTCATTGTACAAGTACAACAAAATATTGTTGGAGAAGCTTGTAGATGCCTAATATCAGAAATATACAAACACTAAAACCAAATATTCAAATAAGAAATACAATTAAATAATACGATATAGTATACAATATACAATTAATTTCTTTCTTCTGTGATGCAGAGAGTCAATCGGTAAGTTCAGGAGTGAGACCACTCTGTGGCAGAAGCTGTTTCGGAGTCTGGTCGTGTGTGTATACAGCACCCTGTAGCGCTTGCCAGAGGGCAGGGCAGTCATGCCATGCAGTTCTATGAAGATCTGTTTGGAGCAGAGAATTGCAGTCAGGAGTGTCGCAGGGAGCTCCTGGAGGGTCTCCCTCAGCTCAGTGTGGAGGAGAGGTCTCTTCTGGAAGGGGAGCTGTCTCTGGAGGAGCTCACTGCTGCTGTCATTCAGATGGCAACAGGAAGAGCACCTGGAATATATGGGTTGTCCACAGACTTTTTTTAGAGGTTCTGGAGTATTCTTGGGTCTGACCTGCATAGTGTTTTAATGGAGTGTTGCAGGACCGGCTCTCTTCCTGGTTCTTGTAAGAGAGCAGTTCTTTCTCTGCTCCCCAAGAAAGGTGACCTGGCATTGTTAAAAAACTGGTGGCCGGTTGCTTTGCTCTGTGCGGACTACAAGATCTTCTCCAGAGCTTTATCGAATAGACTAAAGGACGTTCTGGGAAGTGTGGTCCATAAAGACCAGAGTTACTGTGTTCCAGACTGGACAGTCATGGATAATATTTTTCTTATCAGAGATGTCACTGATGTGTGTAAAATCTATAATATAAATGTTGGCATTGTGTCTCTGGATCAAGAGAAGGCGTTTGACAGGGTGGATCACTCGTATTTGTTTTCTGCACTGAGGTCTTTTGGTTTTGGGGATGGTTTTGTGTCATTAGTTGGTTTGTTGTATCAGGATGCACAGTGTTTGGTGAAGATGGGGGCGGGGTTGAGTCGGCCAATCCCTGTACAGCGAGGGATCAGACAAGGTTGTCCCATCTCCAGCCAGCTGTATAGCTTGGCTATTGAACCCTTGCTGTGCTGGTTGAGGGGCCGGCTCAGCGGGCTCTCTTTGCCCGGGTCCTGTTATGGTTCATCCTTGTAGCCCCTCCCTTCCTCACGTTTGTTGTTTGTTTTCCCCTGTTTGTCTCAACCCTCTGTTTCTCCTCCCCTGTGTGTCAGGTGTGTGTGAGTGCTGGTGGGTTTTCTTCCCAGGCAGCCCAGGTGCAATCAATCATCCTCATCTCCAACAGTTTACCTACTCCGGTCCTTTCACCACTCGTCGCCTGAGTATACTATATCCCTCTATGGTATTTACCTCGTTTTGGCCAACATCTCTGTGAATTCGTTCTGTGTGAACTTCGAGTGTTTTGCTAACATCTACCTTTGTGCTTCTCTGCCTCAGTGCCTGTTGTTTTGTGCTCATGCCTGCCCGCCTACTCGTGGCCTC